GGGAGAGGGGAGCAGGAGATCGACAGATGGGTTGGTGCTGCGGCTCCAGTGATGCGGATGCTGTACCGGTCTGTTGTGGTGAAGAAAGAACTGAGAGTAAATGCGAAAGAGAGAGTAACTGTTAGGTTTATATTGTGGATTGTCATTTATGCTTAGAAATATATAACAATATATTCTTAGAAGTATAAAATTGTTTGTAGATTGATAGAGGTTTGATCCTTAGTAGTCTGTAACGACTCTGTGTGCCTTTCAGAGTGTTCTGGCATACACACACATCTTAAGGTCATGAGAGAGGTCACACCTTCTCTTAGTGATTTATGGTATAGGAGGACACCTACTCTGTGTCTGGTTAAGTATAAGAGCCCTTTGTTTAGGTGGACCACAGCGCTCCTAGCACCAGCTTGGGGAGTCTTCACAGGAACACACACACACACTATGCACAGACTGGTACTCTTTGTTCACATGCATGCCTATGTAAGATGTCATTTGTTAATGAACCTATGCATATTGATGTAACCACAATAAAAGGAGCACTACAGGGAACCTGGCTGAGAGGCCGACGGAGGTCAAGTGGGCAGAACAACACTCGACTTCAGTCGGGCCTCCCTCGTGCACGAGTAACACAAAGAACTTTGGTGACTTGCGTCTTGATTTTGCTTTTGTAGTAGAATTGTCTCGTTCCAGCAGTGGGTCTGTGCCAGACAGACCCATCAATAACTTTGTCCTTTGACTTTCAGATCTTTCCCCAATAACTACTGGGATAAATTTGTGAAGAGAAAGGTAAGTTTTGTTTTGTTTTGTTTTACTGGATAAAAATATTTTAAAAATGTTTTCCTAAATTCCAAATTGAACTTGTACAACTGTCTTTGAGGACACTGGTTGTACTGGGTAGCTCATTCTCTTAAACTACAGTCCTGCCACATTGGTGTGATCTTTCCCTGTGTAGTTTAAGGTTTTCTAGATAGAATACTGTTTTGGGAAATGAAAACGTGGAAAGCATCTGTTTAAGAAGTCCTGCTCTTTCTCAGGTGATGGATAAATATGGGGAGTTTTATGGCCATGACCGAATCAGTGAGCTGCTGGGACTGGACAAAGCTGCTCTGGACTTCAGTGATGCTCACAAAAAGAGAAAACCCAGGAAAGACAGTTCGCTTGCTGCAGTGTGAGTAGTCTGTGTGTAGTGTGCAAGTAATAGAGTTTATGTGTGAGAGAGAGAGATGTTATGGGGAAGAAAAGTCTGACTACAGGAACAATGTCAGTGTGGGGGCACTGCCGTCTTATTAGGATAGTTCCAATCTGATGACAGGATAGCTCAGCGGATTTGTCCCTGAAACTGCAGAAGAGGCACAAGCTCATTTGTTTTAAATTTTTTTTACACATCATGACAATGTTAAATAGTTCATTTAAACTGTTTATAGCACTGTGATGATTGTGATCTGTCTACTTAATGTCAGTTCTTTTACTAGCCGAATGAGCAAAATTGAATTTTGCATACCTTCAGGGTTAGTTGTTGATAAGAGATGCTAATGCGATCACCGCTAGCTTATTAAGCTTAATAGTAGGTGCGGCTAATGTTTATAATAATATCTTTCTATGTAACGAGTAGTGACATTATTACTTGGCTACCCAAATAATGAAATTATTTGTTCATGAGTGTGTTGTTGGAGACGTGTTGTTCGCAAACGAGACTCCTGCTTAGCCCTGCTGAGAATCCATGCAGGCAGGGGCGGGACATTGTTTTGATGGGCACACCATGCGGCCAATCACATAGAAAGGCTAGGATCATGCATTTATGTGAAAGAAAGGTGGGGGCAGACATTCTGATGACAGGAAGTTGGAAAAAAGTGAAGACAAAAATAACAAAAAAGGAATAGCGTTTGCCGGCATTTCGATTATATTGTGTTTTTTGACAACACTGAATAAAAAAATTACTTCCTAACACACCATTCATAATTGCTAAATGTCGTAAGAGCCAGTTCGTCAAAGGGAGTGAAACAAAAGCTGAATAAAATTTACACAGCTCAGCAGATAACTTTGTCTTCGCCCTGCAAAATGACTGGAGAATATCCAGCCATGAGTTTGTTCCCCGAAGCTTAAGCGCACTCAAGTTATCCTTTAGGTCAGTAAGCCAAAACACACCAGCTCAACATTTTCACCTCCAAATGTCTTTGGAGCTTACTAAAAATCTTCACTTAAAACCCAATTTGTTTCAAGAAGGAACACTTCCTGGATTCAACCCACTTCTATTTGCAAGGTATACGTACAGGGTTAAATATCAAAACAATCCAAGGCACTCCCTTTTCAAGGTTCAAGGTTCAAGGTTCTTTATTTGTCACATGCATAGTTATACAAGTATAACACA